AATATAAATTATACATCAAATGAAAGCTTATTCTATAAGCTTTCTTTGTTTTTAGAAACATTTTTCTGTATAATTTACAGAAAGTTCCCAAAAATCCACCAGAACGACGTATACTCAAAAAAAGCAAAAAACCTTGTTACACTGCAAAAGAATCCGGTATTCAAGGGTTTGCACTACAAAAGAATACGGTATCCAGAGGGTTAACTTTATTTATTTTTTTCAACAAAATTTTCAAAATACTCAAATACACGTTTTACATTTGACAAACAATTCTTTTGGTAAAACAAGTTAAACAGAAAAGGAGATCTGTGTAAAAGAGAGGCTGAAGCATCATTTGCTCCCTTTTGATGAATGTAACTGGTTGTATGCCCAAGTTGCACCCTTAGCTTTCTTCAAAATTTCTGTTGGTGTTTCATAGGCATGGACAGGTAAGTGTTGTGCCAGCTTGATGGTTAGGATCGTGGATTCTGGTTCGCTGAAAGTATTGATATGCATGATCGCGGTCGTAAAGTTAAAATAGAAATGACGTAATGTGTACACCGCCACCGGTGTTAATTTTACACGAATACATTGTTTACTATCGGAACGGCATGTATTTTCGCGAAGCGATAGAACTTTCGTAGATTTTATATGCCTTATAAAACTACAGAATTGTCACGTTTTGGATATTTTTATATTAAATTGTGGGTTTTAATAAAAAAATCTTGAGATTATTAGAAAAGCTGGAGATTTTAGGCTAGTGGCGGGAGAGCTAGAGGTTAGGGCGAAAAGCGGGAGTCTCCCGCCAAATGCGGGAGACTTGGTAGGTATGAGTTTATAACGTCGTGCCCAGGACACTATAATCCTAATCTACACTTACATACACTAAAATAAAATAATATTCTACAATATGTTTTTAATCCTTTAAAAGTTAAATTACAGTGGCCAAAAATAGAATGCCATTCTTTAAGGGTTCCTGTACAATTTTTATCACCATTACTTTTCATTATTTTTCTAAATGATTTCAAAGATGCTCTATTTAAAAACGATCTACATTTTTGTTTAATAAATAATCAAACAATTTCACATTTATTATATTGCCGATTTTATTTTCTTTTACCAAAATTGGGTTACAAAAACAATTAAATTGTCTGCAAAAATATTGTATTACAAATAAATTAGAAAAAAATAAATCAAAAAACAAAGATTATGGTATTTTGAAAAGGGGCAGTGATGGGTAGACATGGAAAAGGGACTGTAGATGGGGTAGGGTAGAATTAGAAGTTGGTTAAAGAATATAAATATTTGTGTTTTCATTTAATAACAGGGGCACATGGAAAGTTACGGGGGAGCGTCAAGCAGAGAAGGGAGAAAGAGCAATGTTTAGTCTCAGAAAGAAAATGTATAACATTGGATTTACTTCTGCGGAAATACAATTAAAATTTTTTGACAGCCAAGTAATGCCTATACTATTAAACGGTAGTGAGCTTTGGGGTATAATAACTTGAAATTTATAGAAAACGTTTATTTAAGACATTGTAAATTTGTACTAAATTTCCAGCGGTCCGCTCCAAACGAGGGAGTAAGAAATAAATTGGGAAGGTTCCCCATTAAATTTTATCACGTTTTTAAAATGAGAACTTACTGGAAAAAAATTAATATGATGGAAAATTACCAAAAATATGTGGGCTGAAAACGGAACCGACTGTTGGGCATTTGGAATAAAATCGATTTTAAATATGTTTCAATTTGGGTACATGTGGGACTCGCCTGTAAATTAGAATTTCTTATCAATTTTTTCAGAGAGTTCAGGACATTGCATTCCAAACAGGAAATGAAATGATAAAAGATAACATAAGATTTAGATTTTATAGCAAACTAAACATACCAAATTCCCTTAACAAATATTTTCCATTTAAATTTTAAACTAAGAACAACAATTTCAAGATTTCTTTTGTCAAACCATAAATTATTAATATAAAGAGATCATCATATAAATATTACTAGAGATAACAGAATGTTTATTTTGCGATAATTGTGTTACAGAAGAAGAAACCCATTTCCTGTTTGTGTGTCCTTTTTATAAATGCCTGAGAAAGCCCCAGCAATGTGTTAAAATGTTTAAGAAACAAATACATTAAAAATACTTTTATGGACGCCCAAATAATTAAACGACAACTACTGATTAAATACAGACTTGATCTGTAATGAAATTCAATACAAATATTTCTATTAATTGTTTTCATGCTTTTATGACATTGATTCTGCTAACGAGAAAAGCATTAGGTTTGGCAAATCTGCTTTTGCCACAATAAAACTTCTATTTTTAACTTCTATAGTTTCCGTAAAAGTTTTCAACATTCAATAAAACAAGTGGAAAAAATTCAAGACAGATATTAAAACAGATTAATTGTTAATTTCCACCAACTTAAGATAAATGAATTGATTTCGTTTAGAGAAAAAAGAAAGTAGTGCTGCTACTCACCCAATGATGATGTCACAACAATTGCAGCCCTGGAACCTATTGCAAATTTTGTTGCTTCGAACGAAAACACACCGTCACTCTCAGAGCTTGGTAAATTTTTAACACCGAGATATACAAAATTATCATGTACCCTGTATGCTATATCGCTTTTAGTGTTAAATATTTTATTATCTGGCATGTTCTTTGAATGTTCACCTGTATCGTCATTGTTGTTGCTAGAATATCCAGTATCAGCCCATGTTACATTATCCTTGCCATCCACATCCTTGTACAATATCCCGATTGTTAGATTCGTTGTTTTGCAGTTGTTGATAGCGTATCCACGAAATTCAGTTTTATTGTTCGGCGATGTCAGTGGTATTAGGGAAAACAGTGTCATATCCAGTGGAACTGAAAATGAATCAACATGCTGTATATTAATAAAATCAATTATAAACAATCATGATGACAACGCAGCTGTGGTGAAAATGTTGATGGTGATGTGGTGGTGATGTGATAGGCTAGTTGTGGACATGAGTATGGGTGTGAGGATAGTTTGTTTGTTTTGTTTGGTTATTTATAAATGCTCCACACGATGTGCATAATTTCGAGAATATACACTTAACAATAATAAAACAAATAAAACAATATAATGATGTTGTAATAGTAAAGGGTGATGGTAATTGTCATTTGGATAGGATGGTGGTGGTGGTAATAATGATTATATTTTACAACAAAAAGCAATTTCCTACACTACTACTACTACTACTACTACTAATAATAATAATAATAATCTGGGCTCATGCTAACCGCTCGCCAAATCGCCATGGGCAAAAACTATTTTGGATTGGCGAAAAAAAAGTCAACTGCTTTACCCATTTTGGCGAAAGTTTTGAATACTTGCTAAAATACATCATTTTTTTTTATTTGAGCTCATTTTTTGCTAACTCCATGCAACGCTTATTTGTGTTGTTGTATGAGTAGTCTTGCTGCAGACATCATTGCATGCCTCGCAAGTTATTTTTTATTTGTAATTGTTAGTTTAATGCGGCAGGGCAGTGGCTGTACGACGTAGACTAATATGAAGGCACCACCACAAAAACATGAGGGCCCTGATGCAATGGTGGTCGAAAGAGTATTATTATTTAAGCTTTCTCAAGGGAGGATCCATTCAGTGACTAGCACTGCTTTTCAAGGAAGCCCTGGTACATACAGTGAATATATCAAAAAAAAAGAAAAAAAAAAAAGAAAAAATAATTTTTAGAATTATGAATTTCAAAAGTAACAAAAAAAAAAAAAAAAAAAAAATAAGAAAAAGTGTATATCGTTAATAATTTAATCAGTAATTTTGTGTTATCGTGTTATACATTTAAATAATGTGGGAAATAATTTAATAATGTACCGCGTGGGTCGCTTTGTTACACGGTGTATGTACTTGTGTTGTAGAGAGAGTAATTGTGCAATCAAGGCTAGCCTAGATCATGTACGCTCTTGATTATTGCGGTGACAACTTCAGGTAACATACGATCGGGCCCAACTAGTGTGGACGATCGGGGCCCCAAGCCAATTTTGAATATACTGTAGTCCAGTAAAACCACTACTAGCTCCCCACCCCTGATATTGTTCAAAACTAAAAAGAAAATACTGTATAGGCCTAGGCCTACATAATTTTATCAACTTTTGTGATAGGCCTATATTCAGCCAACTTTCAAAGTACAGGTACCTCATATTGGTGCGCGAAAAATATTAACTTTGCCTATCAAATAACGTCATCTCTCCCACCTCCTGAACCAATCAGAGATTTTTTCTGGTACCCTCATCGAGGCAGGGTTGGATTTAGGGGAAACCACACCCCCACTTTTTTTTTTGGAAAGTAAAAAGAAAAAAATTGGTAATTGAATCTCCCAAAATGCGTCGAAGGTTTGTTTTTGGGAGAGAAAAAATATTGTCGAAAATGTTGGACACCGTGTCCTCTCAGCAAGTTTTGGCAAATGACTTTTAACAATTTTCACCAAATTTTGGCTAAAGACAGTTTCAATTGGCTAAAAAAAATTTTTGACTTTAGCCAATTGGCTAAACAAAAAATATGTTAGAGTGACCCCAGATAATAACCAGAGCATTGCAGGCGTCAACGTTCCTATGCACTGTCTCTTATACACATCTAGATGTGTATAAGAGACAGCATCTATAGTCATGCACTCCCACACACAACAACATCGTGTATGTTGGCATAAATCTGAACTGATAGCCACTGTACCATCTTGGCATTCCAGACGGACCAGAGAAGCTATAGAAATTCACAAACACGATACAGTACATCAAGATATTGGATTTGTCATCAGCGATATTTGGTTGTCCATGTTTAACCGGACCTAAACTAAATTTTTTCCCGCCAAACTTTCCCTCTACACTGGAACTATGCCATTGTTTTTGGCTTTCCTTCCCCCAGCTAGAACAATGCCACTGTCTTGGCTTTCTAGCCACGCCCCGCCCTTCTATTCAGATCGTGAATTTTAGCTTTTGTATAGCTTTTCACTGGTAGGCTCAGCCTTTGTTTAGTTTTCAACCAATCAGCAGCAAGTCTCATCACTCAAACATATAAGTATTTCCCTGTTTGAGATCTCTGCAGATATTATTCTCTTGAAGACGGTTGAAGCAAGTCAA